TCCCTACACTATCAATTCTGTTGAAGAAAACTGTTGGGCAGCGGGTCACATTTGGGAGGATAAGTCAGGGCTATATCATGATCTTAGTGCCGCGGTTTAGCCCAGGGCTTAACAAATGTAGCATTTAAAGACTATTCAGACATTGCGGAAGGAGTAAGAACAACTTCTGTATCTTTTAGTTTTACCAAATCACTGCCAAGATGACAGCGAGATGCCAAAGATTCTACATCTAAATTATTGGAGAAGTCACATCAATATCTGAACTAATATAGTTCTCTTTCCATTTTCAGCCCACAGCTGTTTCTTCTGAAGTTCGCTGCTGTTTATCCTTCCTGCCTGTTCACATCATACACAGGCTGACATAAACACAGGGCCATGGAAAAAGAGAAAAGGAAGAATCTGCATATAGAGTGAAAAGTTCGTTTTAATTTAAAAGAGAAAATTACATACATATAAAAAAAACCTTCAGTATCTGCAAAATGTTTTAAATAAAAAAATCATCCAGAGAGAAATACGCACAGGTTTAATTAAGAGATGGACTCTCTAGCCTGATTGTGCCTTCTCAAAACACACAGTGCTCATTCCAAGTGAGGGTGTTGCTCTTTTTGAAGGCGTTGAAATACATTATTCAGGACCCTAGGGACCAGTTCTGACCACCTGGGATAGAAGGACGCTAGACGATACGCCCTGCTTCCCGGGCGCACAGGGGTGAGAAAGGGAATCCGATGACAGGGGCTTCCCCTTTTGCTGTGAAGGCACAGCAGGCAGCCTGTACTTGATTTTCTGCTAGATTTATGCCAAAGAAAGCCACTTAAGCATGTGTTCCAGAGTTAGTGCCCTGCCTCTCCTCAGGGCCAGGAAGATTTCAGAAATTCATTTCAGGGAGCCGGAACTGAGGCAAGTGAATATTTATTAGCTTCAGCTTATCTGCTACAAAGGAGGGCGTGGCTACCAACTTTTTGCTGGCTGCAATATTCAAAAAGGAGCATTCTGGAAGCTACAAACTTTCAGCCCCATGAATGAGAAATTATGCTGAAGTATATAGTGTCAGGGAAAAGAAACTAAGCATCCCCCCAGTACTCTGGGCAAGCATTAGAAAGATCTTAAAATGGAAAAGCCAACCTTATGGTAACTGGGGCTGAATCTGCAGTCTTGGGAGCAGCCTGTGGGACTCTGGGGATTAGAATGAGTATTTTAGGGGTGGGAATGTGGTCTCTTTTCAGATAAAATGGAAACAAACCCCACAGATGACCAACTGCTTCAGCACAGATTCATCTGCTCTAAGGTTACGTGTCAGACGTCAAAGGTCCTCTTGATGCACAGGAAGAACTGGTGATAACAGTGACAGTCAAATTCACTCACCGAAATGAAAAATCCGAATGCCCAAAAATCAGCAGGCAAAGGAATGCTGACTATGATGCCCATCAGCATCTCCGGCACAGCCAGAGAGGGCAGATACCATCTGCAGATGACCACGTGTTTAGCCTGCACTGCACCTGCGTCATCTTTCTGAAGTCTCCCAGCAATCGCACGAGAATGATAAAATTATTTCCAATTCACAGATGAGGAAACTGAGGCCCAAAGACGTTAAGCAGCTTGTCCAAAATCACATCGTTAACATGTGGTAGAGAATTCAAAACCAGGTGTGTCTCCAGATGCCCAGCTCTTAACCTGGGAGGTAGATGGCCCTGTACCTAGAATTCAGAGGGAATGCTGACTCACTTAGTGCCCCCTAAGCTGTCACAGCTCAAAGTGGTGGTGGGACACTCTTGCAAAGCTCAAGATGACAAACCTTTCAGGCCTGCTGATGTGACAAACATCGCCACTAAAATTCCTTTAGCAGCAAGTGAAAATTACGGCAGCTTATCAGAAAGTTATCAATTCTTCATTTCAATATAAATTATCTAAAGTTAACACTTCCAAATAAAACTCAGGCCTCACAGGCACTTCAACGTCTAAAGTTTTTATTTATTAGTAGCTTCGTCTTGCAAGGTCAACAGGTGATGTGTCAGTAGGGGTAGGGTGCTATAAACCAGCCATGGTGATGGATTTCTCGAAGGTCATCCAAGTTTTCAAAACCACAAACTTCTCCTTGGTCATCTGCTTAAGTCCGCCCACCCTCCCCTGGAGAATAAAAAAGTGAACAAGTTTTACAGGTCTGTTCTTCTCCAACTTTTCACTTTCAATCAGGACATGCACTTGTTACTAAAAAGCTGCTGAAAGCACAATTTCAGGGCATCCTCTGCATATGAATTAAACCGGATTCCCCTTCCCCAGCTTTCACCCTTCCCCGATAAGTAACAAGAGGCCATTTTTCTGAAGGTTGTCTGAACAATTTCAAAGGCTATAACAAATCAAAATGTTCCCTGCATCTAATATCAAACGGGGCTGATGCCAACACTTATTAGAGGAATCAGATTCAAGCTTCCCCCAACCCCCTCGACCACCACACACACACACACACACACACACACACACACACACACACACACACACACACACACACAACTCTGAAGTGGGAAGAATGCAGGGATCAGAAATTACCCTGGAGGCAGCTCTGGCTGTCTTTGAAGGTTCCCTTTGATACCACCATTTCTTTTCCTCTCTTGTGCTAGGAGGCTAAAAGCGGCCTTTTTTAAATTGATATGGGATAATTAATGAAGCTATAGCATTAACATAACCTAAATCCCCTAATAAGATAAATTCAACCTAGACACTTATATTTTTTCAGCTAAGTCTGACTGGTGTAAAGTCAGGACAATGGCCAGGTATTCAACATGCCGAGCCATGGCTCTTTGCTCCTCCCTGATGACAATGAAGGCTAGGGTGGTAAGTCTTAACAGCATTTTTATATTTTGTTCGAGGAATTAGTCTGCTGGCACTTGGCATCAAAAATATGCATCACAGGTAAAGCCGCAGGATGATCAGGGTAGAGGCAGTGGTTGTTAGTGCAAAGTGAGAGAGAGGCTTGCTGGGGTCCTAATGGGGGGAAAACCTGCCAGAGCTGGAAATCGGGGTGGCGTGGGGCCACTCTTGTAACAACAGGGCTAAGAACCCTTTCAGAAGCTGGTTGCTTTCGGTTTGGAAGAACACAGACAACTGCACAGGCAGGAGGAATTCGCAGTTCAGACCCCTAAGCCGAGGCAAGGCTTTCCAAGCCACACCTAGTGCATCAGGGCAGTGATCCACACCCAGGCAAGCGCTTAGGCACCAACTCAGCAAATGCAGGGCTGCACCTTTGGAACAGCAAAACCGCAGGCAACGATTTGTTCTTAGCCCACACCTCAAGCTCCGAAGGCTCCTTCCAAACGCTGCATTTTATTTGGGATGTGCCAGACGGGTCAACACGTTAATTGCACTAATGCTTGTAGGTATATAAATGTATAAGTTCACATATACCAGTATCAGTACTAAAAAGAGAACACTAATAATGGCTGCACAACTTTATTTTTATCATTTGTAAGGTACTCTGAAGAAAAGGGGTGAATCGAATTGGCTGGGCTTAGATTCTGGGCGAGCTTCTCTGACAAATGCGGTAAGTGTGCCTTTAAAACAACAAGTGGGGACTTCCCTGGTGGCGCAGTGGTTGGGACTCCGAGCTCCCAGGGCAGGGGGCCGAGGTTCGATCCCTGGTTAGGGAACTAGATCCCACATGCATGCCACAACTAAGGAGCCCAGGTTCCGCAACTAAGACCTAAGCGCAACAAAATAAATAAATAAATATTTTAAAAAACAAAAACAAAAAGCAACAAGAACAAGTGGACTCGGTCCTAATCGTGCTCTTCCTGCTTTTAGGGTCCCTGCTTATCTCTAGGCCAACGTATGCAGCTGTAAAAGGAAGCAAGAGGTCTCCTGTACCACCTTTGTGATATGACTCGGAATTCAGGCTCCCAGACACACACTCAACTTTCCTTCTGGTGAACAGAGAACCCACGCTAATCCCTCACTAGGGAACCACGACCCGTGTGCACGTGCGTGCTTCCTTTATTCTTTATTTACGACTTCACTCCCTGTTGCTTCGTCTAGTGCCTGTCTCTCATTTCTTTTTTTCTTCCAGCTCTCATTTCTGATTCTCCATTCTTCCATCCCACCTAAAGCATTTTCACATCCCCAGGAGGCTTTTTCATTACCCCCTCCCACACATTATTATTCTACTGTGTTTTAGGCACTGAGGTATATCCACAGGAGGGAGAGAGTCTCGGGACAGAGGCTGGAGCCTCGAGGAGCCCCTGGCAGATGGAGGTTTGGGATCTGGCTCGGTGAGTGACTGTAGGCAAGTCATTTTACCATGCTGGGTCTCAGTTTCCTTGTCTGGAAGATGAGTCTAACAGTGGTAACTACGGTTCCATAACCACTGAAGGCAAGGTCTGCTTCACACAATGCCTACCAGACCAAACATGGAGGACGCTAGAATATTCATTAACTGCAAGACAGACATGCAACAAATAATCAGGACGGACTAATCCTAGTACTAGAGGATTTGAACAGAAGACTGTTCAAAATGCCACGGAGGTTCGAGTGGATGACAATCACTTGTACTGTGAGTAGAGGCAAACCCAGGCCCATCTCCAGAGACCGTGCTCACAGAAGAGGCCTCTGGGAAAATGGGGGCCGGATGAGAAGGGACAGAGCGCTCAGCCAGTGTAAAGCCAGTAAGTTCGCCAGGTGGACGGGAGGGGGCAAGCGTCCCAGGTCAAGGGCACAGAGCACAGGTGCAAGCGTGTGCAAGAATCTGGCACGTTCTGGGAGCCACAAGTAGCACAAAAGGCTGGAAAGTAAAAGACGAAATGTATGTAGAGAGTGACGGCAGATCAGGTCGCAAAGGCAGGCAGAGGCCAGACCACTAGGCATTTCCATGCCTTGCTAAGGGGTCTGGATTTTATTCTACAAGCCAGAGTTTTCGGAAGTGTGTTTTGCCAAACACCAGTGTCACAATATGCTCCAAGAGTAAAGGAAGAGAAAAGATGGATGGTCAAATTAGTTGGGAAAAGACTGCATACGATGTGCCCCTCTTGGGAGATTCATAAGCACTTAGGCAAACTAAGTGCTTAAGAATTTCCACAGTAAAGAAAGAATCCTACTGAACTTTCTCTAACGCAGGGTTTCTCAAACTTTTTTGATCATGGACTGCTTTGTGCCGCTTTGGGCAACGGGGACATGGCAGGAAGCAAGAAATCATCCCCTTGGCTGTGTATTTCAGGAAGACAGCTCTGGAGGCCAGGTGAAGGAGAGACGGCGGAGGGAAGCAGGACTGCAGACTGGAAGTGAGGAGGCTGGTGCAGCGACTCAGCGGAGAGAGAAGTGAGGAGTGAAGATGGATGGGAGGGGCCCAGCTGGAGGGATCAAGAGGGAGACTCGCCAGGACCCACTAACAGACTCCATATGGAGACAGCGGAAGGAAGGCCTGAGCAGTGAGGTGGTACAGTCACCCTGAAGGACCAGCTGAGGGAAGCTGAGGCTGATTTTGGACAGGCTGAACTTGCGGTCCGTCTGGGGAGGAGCGGTCTGACCTCGACACAAATCAGGAGTGGTCCCCGTGCGGGGGGACACGTGCAACCACAGGGGTACATGTAAGAATGGCCAAGGGGCATGAGAGGAGGGGGAAGAGAACCCCCAGTAATCTGGGAGTCAAGGGGGTAGATGGGAGGAAAGGAATTACCCATAGCAGCTGAGGAGGAGTAATCAGAGAGAAGTTCTAGAAGAATACACGTGAGACTGTTTTCTAATTCCCTTGTTTTAAGTGCAGAATAAAAATAATACTAATCATTTATTGACTTTTAACTAGGTGGCAAACCGCTTGTGTTATTTCGGACACTTTCAGTATGGGGCATTAAATAAATATCATGTTCAAGATTGATACTGATATTTCAAAATAGGTAAAATCTCCACTCCTTAGAATCTACATTGAGTATGCTTCACTGGCATCCTGAATTTGGTTATCTCTTACAGCACGGTCATTATTAGTACCTAGCTTTTATGTATTTATTCTTTATATCCCCAAGTCACTTGTAAGTCCTTGGAGAGTAAGGGCGTGTTTCAGAGCAGGGGTGACTATAAAGTTGTAAATCTTGAACAGAGGCAACAAGAACCCTGTCTCTAGATGACCACTGACTCGGGCTCTTGGCGAGGGTCTCCACCGCCCCAGCCTTGCCTCTGCTGCTGCGAAGGAGTTTGGAGTTTCTCGTTTAGAATCGCATCTGAGTTTCTGAGTCACATACACAAGAGATCACACTTGCCCCAATTATCTATTTTATTCTCCACACTTGCTCCAAAGACACTTTGGTTTTTCCAAAAGGAAAAAGGAAAGCTTCCCTGGAGGACTGCTTTTCTCTCAATGGGGAGATTTATGAGAACTCTGCAGGGCCCTGGGAGTAAGAGTAGCTTCCCATGGTGACAACACTCGAGTGGAATGTGGAAATTCAAAATGCTGGGTTACTTGTTCAAAATACAAACCCGCTTTACAAACCCAAAATACAGACCCACTTTATGGGTCACACCTTTTATATAACACACTGTTATGTGCTAAGCTACATTTGTCACCTGTTTTTGGAGAACATTCTATCCTCATTATAATGTGGCCGTTGGGTGGTAAGTGCTGGTACAAACAAACTTTTAAATTTTAACGGGATTCATGAAGAGAAGGGAAAGCTCCAGGGAGAGGTGAAGATGGAGGCTTAGTGCCAGGAAGTGACCAGGGTGTATCTGGGTGGGTATCTCTGGCAGAAGGCTCATTACGCCCTGGAAGCAAACACAAATGAAGGCTGTCGACTCCCATTAGCATCTTCTGGTGCTCTCTGTATCTCCATATGGAGAGTGTGCAGTCAAGAGAAATTAGGGGTTCACGTGGGTGAACTTTGCATGAAACAAATCACTCATGGAAATAACTCATCTTTTTTCAATTGTAGTATTCAATATGGACTGCTATGGATAACCAACTTCTGGGGGCTACTTGCTAGTTTCAAGGAAAATGATCATTATCATGTTGTGTGTCAAATTAACTTGAATTTTCCTCATGGTTCTAGGAACAGCAAAATGCTGCACTCTGGGCTATTGATGTGCTGCACGACTAGACAAAAAAAAAAAAAAAAAGAAGAAGAAGGGAAAGAAAAGAAAGGAAGAAAGAAATCCATTTCCTCAGAAGACACATTTAATGAGGCAACTGGGGGTCTAAGGTGATAAATTAGAAATTCAACTAAGGGTAACAGGCTTAAAGGAAAAAGCAGAAGCTTGATGAAAAATGCAAGGGGAGAGAGAGAAATGTCTTTTTGTAAAGTGTTCAGCTTCATACTGATATAGCTATGATTGCTAGTGTTTAATGTCATTCATCTGGGACTCTATTACCTTTGTCCTGGGATACAGAAAATAAAGGAAAAAACAAAAGACTCCAGAATGCTTACCTTGCCATCTTCTGTGTAGACGTTTTCATTATACCCCTTTACTATCGTTCGATCAATGAACAGGCTCCGCATGACAACAATCACTTTCAACACTTTTCCCAAGGTCACCTGTCAAAACACACGTGTACAAACAGGAATGCTTACACTGGAACATGCAAATCACATGAATTGGGCAAGACAATGAGAAGAAGAAAGGATCACCTCTCCTCCTGTTCCTGAGAGACACACCAGCGGACACTCGGAGGAAAGGCGCGGTGGTCGCGCCTTGTGCCAGCCTCCTAAGGCATTTAAGATGGCGCAGGTCCCAATTCATCTAACTACCCTGAATTTATTTATAATATTGGCTTAGAAACTCTCAGGAAAATTTCCAAATGTTTACTATCTGCTGGATAAAGTAAGTTTCCCTTTTTTTTTTTTTTTCCTGTCTTAAGGTTACCTTCTTCAAAGACTACCCTACAATTCTGGCCTTCCAGGAGTTAGAGCACATTTGTTTTCATATTATGTCACGAGCCTATGTACACCCGTGGACTATGTAGAGAGTACAAGAGAGGGATGAGAGGCAGGCACCAGATATCCCCTGGGTGAACTATCTATTTTTTAAATTAATATTTATTTATTTGGCTGTGTGGGATCTTTGTTGCGGCACGAGGGATCTTTTTTAGTTGCGGCATGTGGGATCTAGTTCCCTGACCAGGGATCGAACCCGGGTCCCCTGCACTGGGGGCACGGAGTCTTAGCCACTGTACCACCAGGGAAATCCCTGAACTATCTATTTTTAACAGCTGGTAAAAAGTGGAGCAGTTCTGAAGGTAAATGAAAAGTAGCTGAATTTTATCTCCAAAAGGGAACATGATCCTGTAAATACATTTAAGTGCTTTTACTCTCTTAGAACCTAAGCACATGTTATAGGTTAAAAACAAAAAACAAAAAACAAAAACCTAAAAAAAGTGCAGTTTCATACACGCCAGGGAAAAAGTGACCTGCTGGGCTTGCTGAAGAGGCTCAGCCTTCAGAATAGAAACAGCGCCTTCTTTTCTTTTAGGGGCTCATGAAACCCTTCCGATACTTTGTCAAGCCTCCTCTTTCATTTCCTAGATGAGACCCTAAAAGCAGACTCGGCAAAGGACCCAACCCAAGGCCCACTGTCTGGGTTGGTCCATGAGGCTCTGACATCACAGAATTGGCTAAAAGGAGTCCCGCTGGGCTCAGACAAGAGTCTCTGCCCCAAGCAGCAACCCGAATCCTGCAACTCAAGCAGCAGGCCGTTTCTCGGAACGCCACCTTCAACCATCCTTCCCTTACTTCCTCCTTCCTTGCAGTTCTTAACCTACTGTTCAAAACAACAACAGTCCTGGGTGTCAGTGAACATTACTAATACCTAGTTCCTTCAATAACGTCTAGTGCTGAGTTGATCTCTATTTCTATATGCCCCCGATAGTACAGAATATAAACGGGGTAAGAAAAAGATATGACATGTTTATTTACATTTAAGAGAATGTTAAAAGCACCTTACTTCTGGATAGTACTTTTAAATATTGCTATACCGTGTAACATTTAATAGGTTACTTCTTGCATAACTGGAAATCACTATTTAAGGATGCCAATAAACCAGCAAGGTAGTAACAGAAACTGTCTCTAGTTTACATGCGGTCTTGGAAGGAAGCAAGGGAGGGAGAGGAACCCAGTTATAGTTCTGGCAGTCATAAGCACCGAAATTAACAGCCTCTCTCTGGGTTACAGTGAAGGTCCAACATACCCCGTCCAACAGTGCCACCATTTTCTAACATATTTTAACTCTCTTTGCTAAAAAGTGTAGATAACTAAGCAATTATTTCCTTAAAAGAAACAAAATCTAGCTGACTTTAACTGATAAATTCCCTTAGTAATTTCTCAAGCTTCTTAAAATGAAATTAAAAAAAAAAAAAACAGGGCTTCCCTGGTGGCACAGTGGTTGAGAATATGCCTGCCAATGTAGGGGACACGGGTTCATTCGAGCTCTGGTCTGGGAAGATCCCACATGCCGCGGAGCAACTGGGTCCATGAGCCACAACTACTGAGCCTGCGCGTCTGGAGCCTGTGCTCCACAGCAAGAGAGGCCGTGATAGTGAGAGGCCCGCGCACCGCGATGAAGAGTGGCTCCCGCTCGCAACTAGAGAAAGCCCTTGCACAGAAACGAAGACCCAACACAGCCAAAAATAAATAAATAAATTGGGGAAAAAAAACAACAAACCACCACACTAAAGATACTAGAAATGTTATATTTAATTTTTTTGTTTTTATAAGTGACTTTTGGTATTTTAAAGTTAACTAATAGTAAAATAGTTAATAAATGCTTATTACGGAACAATAAGCTTATTATGGAACAATTTTTCTCTAAAATTAGAGAAAAAGGAATAAAATAATTGTTTATAGACTTTCCGTCCAAAGATAATCACCACTTTAACATTTTGGGGTAATTCCTTTTAATCTTTTTACTATCGAAGATGCACGGTCTTTGAATTTTTCACATGTTTATAATTGAAACTAAACATATCATTTCAAGTCAAACTTTTATTTAAAATTACGAGGTACGCATCACTCCATATTGCTATGTAGTCTTCAGAACTGGCATTACACGTGGCCTGGCATCTACTAAGTGGCTACACTATAATCTCTTTAACCATTCGCCTACTGCTGGACATTAGCTGCTTCCAAATTTCCCCTAATATTAATATTAGGCTGCAATGTGCCCTTTTGTTCACCAAACTTTTGCTGCATTTGGTATTACTTCCTGAGGATAGATTGGTAGAATTGTAATTACTGGAGCAAACAGTACAAATATTTTAAGGCTTTTGATACAAAATCTACCACAAGGGTTAAGAACACTGTTGTCAGCACCCCACTCTTATCAGCAATGGGTGCTATTAAATCAAGGCAAAACAAAATAAAATCCACCCCCTCCCAGAGGTACCGACTTAATTACCTTCTTTAAACCTTTCATTATGGAAGACTTAAAAAAACATATACAGAAGTAAATCAAAGAGTATAAAGAAACCCCATGGACCCGTCCCAATGTCAACAGCTACAAGTCTCGGGCAGATCTTTGTTTTACCTACGCCCTCACCTACTTTTCCCTTCCTGAATTATTTTGAAACAAATAACAGCCACGGTTATCATTTTACCTGTAAATATTTCAGTCTGTATCTCTAAAAGATAAGGGCTCTGAAAACAAAAAAACATAGGCATGCTGCCACTCCACACCCCACATCTAAAACAACAACAGGAATTCTCTAGTGTTATCAAACCTGTAGTTCGGTCAGTGTTCATTTCCAACAGTCTCACAAATGCCACATTAAAAAAAAAATTTGCTTGCATCAGGATCTGAGTATGGTCCACACAATGGAACTGGCTGACCTATCTCATAAGTCTCTCCTAAACTAAAGGTATCCCTCTCTCTATCCCCTCTCCCCATTCTATTTGCTGAAGAAACTGGGTCATTTTTTCTATCGAGTTTTCCACAGTCTGGATTTTGCAGATGGCGTCCCGGTGGTGCTCATGTTACTCCTTACTCTGTACTTCCTGTAAATTGGTAATTAGATGAGATTCAGGCTTGATTTTTTTTTTTTTTTTTTTTGCCAAGACTGCTTCACAGGGGTGTCACAGACTACGAACAGGAGGCATGTGAGGTCGGGTGTCTCAGTTTGTGATGCTGGCAGCTCGTGACCCATTAAATTCACCAGGGGTTACAGACGGTCGTATTCCAATGAGATCAACAGCTTTCATTTATTAGCTGGAACACTTTGATAAAGAAAAAAATTCCCCTATCTACTAACTGGTTACCCAGTGGTAGAATTTATTATATGTGTGAGAGAGGATAAATGCTCAATTCTTTCCATTTATTTAACAGCTTTCTTTTTCTAAACTTTTAATTTTATATTGGAGTATAGTTGATTGACAATGTTGTGTTACTTTCAGGTGTACAGCAAAGTGATTCAGTTATACACATACCAGTTTTCAAACAATGCACTGTTTCACTAGTTTACTTCCAATGTAGATGGCTTAGTTTTTTTCCCTTAACGTTATTATAAACTCAAAGAGTGAAACATATTTGATATATGTTTGTCTGACGCAATTATTCTTCTTACGGATGCTCGAACTGTTCTGTCTGTGGCTGGTGGGCATCTTTTTGAGGCTGAATCCTTTCGTCGTAACCCTAGTCTCTGTGATGGCTTCCTTGCCGTCTGGTATATGACACCTCAGGCCTGTCCTGTACGGTTCCCACCTGAGGCCATGAATCGGCCACATCTCCTCAAGCAACTCTGGCTCTTTCCAGTGGGAAATGGTATTTCAAGACCGCAACCAGAGCAAGGGGCAAATCATTTTTTGATAGGTTAAATTTTTTGTTTTTCATGCTATAAATCTGGATTAGGATAGTTTTTCCTTTCCCCCTTTTTTTCTTATCCTACATTCATTTATGTATTGAGGTATAAGCGTTTCAACTTCTTTTCTAATAAAAAAATAAGACACTCCGCAGTCATACGCCCCCCCCACTCCTGCCCCCCCCAATCATACTTCGCACCTCTGCCCTCCACCCTCAGCCCATCATACCTCCCCCCACCCCTCCTGCCCGGTTTGCTCTGGAGTTCTGGGATAGGCTGGTTCTCCATGCCCCGCCTCATGCGCTGTGGCTTCAGGCTATCAGAGAAGGTGCATGAGCCAGGGAGGCTCACCAAGAGCATCCCTCCAGCTTGTGTCTATCCCGGGCTGTGCTAGTTTATGGACACTCAGTGCTATGGAGTCTGGCTCTGGTTTACTTTTATTATCTCTTGAACCCGTCAAGGTCTATGAAGTCTGTCAATTCTTATTTTTTCTAGAGCCAGAAAGGACCCTGGTACTCAACTAGATGGAATATGCACAGAGTTACGGCTTTTTGAATTTTTAACACGGTCGTAATGAAACTGCATACACAATTTTGAAGCTTAACATTTCGAGGCTTTGGAATCAGGTGCATTTGGAATCGGGTCTCGGCTCTGCTACTGGAAAGCTTGGCCCAGTTACTTACCTTCTCTGAACATCACTTTCCTCCAGCTAATGGAGATGATGACCGCGAGGAGTCAAGGAGACAAGGC